GATTGAGTCGTTCGCTGGGCTCTGGCCAGGGGCCACTTGAAAACTGCCTCAACCACAACCACCAGAAGGATGCGGTATCACTTTCTTCACCTCCTGCAAAAGACAAGAACTAAGCAAACTTCAGCAGGCAACAGGAAAGCTGATGCCCATCAACGGATGTGAATACCTGGGGTTCGGGGGCCAGCCTGGCGTGTAGTCTGGTCTGACAGCCGACTCTGAGACAACTGTGTGCGTTGCAGTTTGGTTCGGGTTCCAGGAGCTGACTCAGCTGAAGAGTGTGAGTGTGTGAGGAGGGAGAGGGAGGCCACATCTCTCACAAGATCAATAATGCCCTCAAGCCTTTTTAGCCCCAGAGGTCCGTGCAACCAATCTATGAAGTCGCCTTTATCATTTATCGTTTCTCCTCACGCCATTTACACATCCTCACAGGACGATGAAGCATTTAAGTCCCCCAGTATAAAACTGAAGCCATTCAGCCTGGGAAGCACTGTGCCTTTTTATGGTAATCTCCTGTGAAGTCACAACGGGAGCAAGAAACATTGATTTTTCCACAACCCCCAGGAAGACTCAATACCATCATTGTTTCCATGGAGCAGTAGCCATGTGGTCCGAGCTGCTTTCACAGGGGGCACTGCTGAGAAGCTGGAATTGAAATGATGCTGGGCTGGACTCAACACGCATGTGGATTTATCCATCAATAGAGTACTGATAACGTGCATTCCTGATCATGTGTTTTTTGTACTGCCCCTGTGCCATGCACAAAATATTTAGGAATTGTCCGGCTTCACAGTCCTCCTATTTTCATTTCCATTTGTTCTGTTTTTATCCTCTTTTCCGAATCCCAGCAAGGCCAAGGCACTGTCTGATCACTTCCAGAAATGCAGGTTAGAACCCCTGTGAGTGGCTCCCTGCCCTGTTTTGCTCCAGAAAGAGGAAAACAGAAGTCTCCTTTGGGAGACTCACTAAGTCTAAAGCGTATGTAGTTTCAATATATCTCATGCTCTCCAGATACAGTACCTGCTGTGTTAAGAGCCCTGCAATGCTTTCTCCTGGACAAACAGGATAATTAAAAGCTGTGATGTGTTTGCTTGTCTTGACCCGTCACAACTAATGGAGTTCAAATCTTTCATCAGCATGAACACAGAAGGCTGTAGCAGCCCTTCTTTTACTTTTATTTTAAAAATCTTCATGTTTGTTTTAGTCTTTTTTTGGCATTTCTAGCTGCAGACTTTATTCCTCAAAATTAGTTTTGATTCTTCTCCCAGCTGAAATGAAGTGGAAAGACAATGTTGTTGTAATGATATCAGTGTTGTGCTCCTTGGTAGCGTAATGGTGCCCTTGCTATTTTAGACTTTGTGTGGCCAATCATGAGCACAATTCTTAATCTAGATCATCATAATCACTGCCTCTTGTGATGGTCTTGGCAAGAAATTCTAAAAGCAGGAAAAACATAGATTTGAATGTTATCCCCACAATGCCTGTATGACATCAAGTTCCCATCTTTCTTGAAAACCAAGCCAAACAATCAGTGATCACTTAGTAATGCTGAAACAAAATCCCTGGAAAGGGATGTACAGTATATTAAAATTCCACAGCAGCTGTCTTACAATAACTCCAGTGTTAAAACATGAAGCAGTCATGATTCTCACTTTGATAGGTGTGTCCTGGGTGTTTCTGAACACACAAGGTGCCTTATGCACCCCTGTCCTCTGAGTCCTTCCATTTCTCTCCCTTTTACCCTTACACACTTTCCCTGGCACTTCCAAGCCCCTGCCCACCTGCCTGCCAGTCAAGAGCCGTAGGGGCGGTAAGCTGAAATTGCTCTGCCTCCTCTCCGCTGGGCACCTCAGGGAGCAACTGTGCTGACACATGCAGCCCAGCTAAGGATAGCAAAACTATTAACCAAGTCGGAGCTGGTGCCCTCTAGACAGAGCAGCCTGGCACCATGTTGGCCCACTGGATGTCAAACAAGTTGGCTGAAAACGTTGAGAGAGAGAGATGTAAGTTCTGCTGCAGGCAGCTCTAGATTCCGTGCTTTGCAGCGAGCCGAGATGAACTCATTTGCCTGAAATAGCTCTCCTTCAGTTCTCGTTTCCTCTTGTGTCATAGCAGGCCGCTCATCTCCGGAGCTGACCCCGCGGAGACACTGGCTGTGTCTGCTGCACACAGCCAAAGAACGCTCCCGTTTGTTCTGGGACTGGCTTGTTGCTTTCAGTGCACCCAGCAGCTAATGCACTGCACATTAAAGCACTGACAGCTTTTATAAGGCCAGTATTGAACGGTCTTCTAAAAGGACAGGAGCACCCATTCACTTTCAATTAACACTGACACCCTTCTGCTAGTGCAATAAAACTGATTTTCTACCTAATTTTCAAGCAAGACTTAATAATCCTTATGTGTGACAGAATTAGTTTTATAGCCCTATTGTTGTCATATTGCTCCATGGATATACTGTATGTATCTGGCTTTTAGTGGCAGTCTTGGACAGTGCTCAATGAGGGCTACAGGCACCCCCAAATTTTGTGAAGCCCCCTGAGTGCCTCATCTAGCTTCCCGTATTTTACAGGTCCAATATATTCCACTTACTTCACAGCACCTCCGTATGGAGACAAATTCCTAATACAAGAAATTGTATATGGCCAATAAAGTGATCTTATCTTATCTTCTTCAGCTTGGCAGGCTACTTCAATGGAAAAAAAACAAAACAATTTTGAGTAAAAAGCACAGAACAGCTAACCAGATTGCCATTGGCCCAGACTGAAGAGACTAGCCTTACGTCACAGAGGAGCTTGTAAACTGCTCTCTTTCTCTGCTTTAGAAGATAACAGCTGTTTCCTTGCCTGAAGCAAAATCTAATGATTTTGCATTTTTTAACTTTAACCAGATTTTCTGCATATTACTAACAGACACGGCCTCTAAAACTTGACATGCCTTACAAGGAGCCAGTGAAACTATAGAGGATACGTACTTCATAGACTGTATATTTTGTACTCAGTGAAAACAAATACTCATTCACGAAAATTGAAACATCCTTCTCAGCCTCATGTTTATTTTCCCTTAATCTAAAGGGTTCAGACTCCAGACATTAGCATTAGTCTCCAGCCTACCAATGGAACCCAGTTTTGCAGCAGAACTAGATGACAGAGTGACACATTATGTGTGAGAATAATACAGCCAGTATGAGCTGTGCTGTTTTATCGATTCACAACGGTACTTGTGGTCTGTGTGGGTTACCTGTGCAAAGGGACAGGAGTGTGATGTCAAGCTTAGTGGCTACGACTCCTTTGTCAGTAGGGACAACTGGCTGACCCTCCTGTGACCTCTGAACCCTAGGTCAACACGTGTTCATTCAGTCCTCACTGGGAGCACATCACTGGCATCGCAGAACTGTCTGAAGACTCTGACAGAGGAAAAGAGAGAGACTGAGATTAATGTAGAGCTGCTGAAAAGCACGTGTGTTTTATGCTTAAAATAGAGAAAGGTGATGGGCTTTTTAAAGCAGCTTTCATTTTATTGAAGCGCCATTTAAGCTTTCAAGGTTCAGTAGTTACTTGTCAGCCTAAATGTGATGCACACGCATTGTTGTGGGCTGGAAGAGGGCTGAACAAGAACAATCGTTTCATTCCAGATGTGTCACTCAGATGCGTCATCTTTAAAATACACAAACCTGCCTGGCAGAAACCTCTTCTCATTCACTGAACTGGTCGAAAATGCTCCAGTGGTCTTTCAGTAAGCTGTATGTGCTCCCAAGATGACATTTATAACTAGACAAAATAGACAGCAATCAGCTGGATCACCTGGGATGTATCATACAAGGCACCGAGGATGCTGCCAAATTTAAATTTCACTTGTCATGTGGCTTGTAGTGAATACGTGTTGGAAAAACGAGACAATTGCAAAACCAAGGAGGCAGAACAATTCCAGCTACAAAGTCATTGTAACTGCTGGGAGACAGAAAGACACTGTTTTTGTGTTAATAGCACTGGTGATAATCGTAATGGAAATGAATGATCTTATTTTCTTTTCCAAGAGTGCCAGTCAGCTCCCTTCTTACCCCACAGTGGGAGTTATCTGGGCAGTATCTGCTCCGAGATGGACAGGGCGAAGTAGTCTTCCATCTGTGAGTGTCTTATCTAGCTCTCTCTGATGTCACAGCTGGAAGTTGAAGTCCCTGCTATGGACACAGTTGTTACACCTTGGAGCCAAGTACTTCAGCTCGATTGATCCAGTGCACCTACCTGTAAAATGGGGACCAGTAGGGCTGGGAATTACCTTGTGATGGCTAGATCCCCATGCTGGGGGCTAGAGTGGGCCCCATACTCTCTGCCCTCCCAACTCTGTGGTGTCCAGGGTAAGATCTGACCTTCTGAACTTCTGGATTTGAGTATAGACCTTCCTCTGTGGGCTTCAGCACTGCTTCCAGTTGGTTTGTTTTTTACATGTCTTGAAAGAGGGATCTTTTTTGTCCCATATCACACTGGCTCTGACTGCCTGTGATGATGAGGCTGCTCCTACTTTCAGAAATGAGAGAGGAACAGTTTAATCCCAGCATTCTGGCTATAATGAGCACTCGCTATAAATGTACATTAATCTGACATCCTAGCTAGCAGGAGGATTGACACTGTAGATGAAGCAGGTCGGATGTCACAGATGGAGACATTTATACATTACATGACGATCATCCCGCAAGGAACACTCTGGAGCTAGCTTTTCATGACTGAGGATCTAGCCATAATCCAGCTGCTTCTCAGCAGGGTCATGTCATGTCCTGTCAGTTTTACAGTACTGCAAGAATGCACAAAGCTGTCGAGTTGAAACGCGAAGATGCAGATTTGTTAGAATAATGACAAAAAAGTGAAATTCATGAACATGAGTATCTTTATATAAATGACTATTAATGCATCACAATGTTAGTGCCTCTGAATTCATGAGACATACTGTCTGTCTTTCTCTCCTGCACCTCAGTGTGTCATATACGGTACATTCATATTAAATAACACTTGGAAAAGCCTGATGCCTGTTTCAGAAATGCAATGCAGCCATAAACAGGGACAGTACTGCAGCAACAAAGCGGGTATTTTAGCTCTATCTGAAATGTAGAGAAGCAGGATTTAAATTGCTTATGGAATTTTACAAGTGATGCAATACTGCTGAAATGTGACAAAGAGCTGAAAGGGAGTGAGGGGCTGGGAATGTATGAAAACTGAAGCTCCATATCACACACTAAGGGTTTTAATCAAATGCACTGTGTGTAATTTAGCCAAATCAAATTTGTTTGTTAACTAACATAGCTTTTGTTATATCAAGCGATGAAACTGTGGAGCCAGATACTGTAAGTGTTTAGACTCAGACTGGATTATTATTGCTAGCTGAAACATCAGTGACAGGAAAGGCTGCCTATGACTTGGACAACACATCAGAGTCCTGGTCATTTTGTAGCCTCTATAATTATTATGACTTGGGAACATAGCTACAGAACCAGCAAGAGAGCCTTGTATCTCAGAAGAATTTGGAGATTAAAGTGCACAAGACACCAGTCAATATTTCATTGAGGCTGTAACCCTGCTGCTAATTTTTCGAGCGCAGTCCGTGACCTGTCCAACCCCTGGCTTCCATCTGTGATGACTTTATTGATTTAGATTCTGCTCAGCTGTGTTTGCTTTCTTAGCAGCTCAGGCGGTGGTGTAATCACTGTTAAACCCAAACCTCATTACTGTTGGGCGGGGTGGATGTCATATGACAAACGGCTTGAGGCTATGTCAACACCCCCCCCATGCCTGCCCCCCCACCACGTTGCTTCTTTCTCCAATACCACAGGTGCTTCCAGGAGAACAACCACCATTCGATGACATTTGAGGTGATTTCAATGTCTCTTTTGCACCACATGGAATTTCAGGCTCCCGGATAAACCTTCAGCCCTGTACCCTCTCCTTTATGTCATGACCCAGATAAACACCCATGGTATTGCTCCTGAATACCATGTGGTTGAGGGATCAATATATCTTCTTTTGGCCTAGCCAGACTTCAATGGAACTAAGGGTCAGCCAGTTCTGGACACTCCAGAAGCCACAGGCTGGAGAAAGCAGACTCCCAGGAGTAACAGTCCCTAAAAACAGCAGTTCAGAACAATCAGACTGAAACAAGCAGAGGCGAATTCCAAGAAGAATTTGTTCATTTCTGGTGTGACGGGACCGCTGAAGGCTCGACAACTGAACGTCTACAAGTTTTATTCTTCTTTTTTACTACTCGACATGGATTTAACTTCTGCTTGTTCATTCTGCAGCTCACACACGGGTGTAACTCTCCACACACCTCTACAAACCACACAGCTTTGAATCAACTAGTTCTTACTGAAATCCCTGCAAAATAGGTTCTAGATGGATATGCCACAAGGGGTTTACGTTATAGCCAAATGGGACATTTTAATGGGGCTGATTCCAAACAGCTTGATGCTAGTGGTGTTACCAGCAGTGTCACTTAGAACGTAGCCCATCAAAGCACGTCATTTTGAGTGTAATAGGACTATTATAATTGTTAACAATTATGTCCTTCTTGATTTATATGGAATACTTGATGATCATTTTCAACTGCTTTTCTTTAAAATGAATAATTTTCATTTTGTATTTTTGTTCAGTATACTCAAGTGGCATAGAAGGCAGCTTGACCTTTGTCTTATTTCCTTCCTAGTACTGTATGTCCAAATAGAAAGAGATGTGGTTAAACTCAGATTATTCGGCTCAGAATCAGATCTACCATAAACATTTGGCCAAAGCTATGTACCGGGAGTCAGCACTGGTGAAAGAGCTATAAAAATGTGGGTCATTTCAATTTAATAATATTCATAGGCTGGAAAGACTCTCTATGACCGACACATGCTTGTGACAAGTCTAATTTCTCTCTCATTTTTGAAACCTTATCAAAGCGAGGACTTTGTGCAATTATTCATGATATGCATCTCATGAGAATGTTCCACTTTTCTGAGTACTACAGAAAATGATCAATTTATTTACAGTTGGGCGATGAGGCGGGTTCATGAATATGGAAATCGGCCTCATCCACAGAATAGGTGCTCAAAGCAAGCGCTCTTGGGTCTATAACACTTCCAGTGTGTTGTGTTCTCCCTTTGTTTTCTCAATGAGGCAGAGGCTATCAAAACATTGGAGCCTCTCCAAGACAAATCTGTCCTCCTCTGCACAGTCACCACTGAATCCAGGGAACCGCAAAAATATCTCTGCACTGGTCCCCCTGGCCATGATTACACTGACCTTTCTAGAAGCACTTTCACAGCGATTCCAGAACCCTAACTCCAGAGAGAATCAGAAGCCATGATGAAACTACTGTAAGCGGCTGACTTTCCAGGTGTATATATATACTGTATAGCCCTGGGGGCGTACTTTCTCTTTCGGGTACGCAGCGGTGTTATAGACATTCACCAGAGCGTTTCGGGAGCGCAACACCTGTCCGCCGCCGGCTCCTCCTCACGATCAGGTGCCGTTATAGTGGAGAATAAAAGACGGAGGCAGAACACTCTTTCCCCTCGGAGAGTAGTTATATTGTCGGCTTTGTCATACACAGCACAATACCAGCTACACACACATCGATGACTTAACTCCCCAGCTCGCTTAAACGCTTCCTCCCGTTAGCAGCCCGCCTGACTCTCTCTCCTCGGTCCTGTGTCGTCACAACGACCTTTCACCCTCTCACATCTGAAACGTATTTTTAAAACTCAAAACTCTTATCATTTACTACATTATGTCTTACGCTACTTTAAGATTATCTCCTTAAAGTACCGTAGCATCTTCCGCCAGCGTCCAGTGATTACAGCTTCACATTCATTTACAGATTTCAGCTTTTTATACTTCTCCGTGAATACCTCTCCCAGAACAAACCATTTCCTAATCTTCCAGTAGATGGAATAGGGAAATGTCTACTATCATGTCCACCACAGTCATGAGGGTTTTACCATATATGTTTAAAGATAATAAAGGTGTCAGTTCTGTCTAATTTGCAGCAGGATTGTTAGATATCGCAGAAAGCATCTTCGTGCCTCTTTGCACTTCACACTACTTTTAATGTGTCCTGCACAGAAATACATTTGATTTAAACCAATAATGTGATCCATTGGAACCAAGAGAATTCTTCTCCCTTCTTCCTCTGATGTCATTTTAACCAGAGAAGAAGCGGGCGGAACCACAATTCTTTGCGCTTCCGGAAGGTCTGCGCAACTCCGCGGACGAACATGGCGGGTTGGGTAACGAATTTTCCTTCACTTTCTCCCGACAGAAAGTTAAGAATCACTGAAGAGGGGAGTCATATCGAAGAGCCCAGGGAATTTGTGTCATTTCGTTTACACAAGGATTTTAGCTTCTCACCACTATATGGCGCTAGGCAGGTAGGTTCGTTAGTGCTTATTTTATTCCGTTACACAAACTTTGTTGGGCTTTGCTGCACACGTAGTTTTAAGTGTGGAATGGTTTTACCAAAAGCACTGTGTTGAGGCAGTCGTAGAAAGCCGTTTATGTTCGCTATTATTTAAACAAATTCAACTTTTAAAGGCAGAAATCAGGTAGTTTTCCCAATGGCCTCCAATGTGAAAATTTTTAAGGAAAATCTGTTTTGCATGCTGTTTTGTACACACGGCAGGTTGTACCTTCTTTATTATGAATACGTCGATGAAGTGGTTCTATCATATTACTCTACGTCAGTGTACAGTACTTATGCTTTTTCCAGTTAAATGAACTTCCGAGACTTTATGCAGTTCTGTTCTCGAAGCACTTTAAACAGAGTAATCTGCCTCTGCTCAAATTTAAAACCAATAAGTTAGTTGACATTTGTAATGCTAAGGGTATGCTGTCAATTGATTATCAATATTTATTATATTGTAAGAATCGTGAGATCAATACTATCTCGTGTTCAATAAACATATTTGTGGTAAAAAAATCCACATGTCTTACTGCGAAACCCGCCAGACTTTCTCCTGCCTGCGATGTGTGATCGTCATAGTCTTGTGTTAACGCACTGCTCTAGGTATGTTCTTGGTTTTCCATTTAAACCAATATTGTGTTCGTTTTCGAATACCCGACTGTGTTGCTTATAGTTTTAAAAACATTTTTAAATCTGTTTTAATTCCCCCGGAGTGTGGTACATTAATGTATTTTTTACACGTGAAAGGTTGCGAGCTATTTTCCAATTTGGTTAACATGGATATAATTGCAGGGTACAGCACGTTATTCCACAGCACGTTTAAAAATGTCAGTGCTGAATTGTTCAAAAGGAGTATGGAATTTCTGAAATAGTCACAGCAATAAAGTCGTCAAGATTTAAATGCGCATTATTAAAAAAAAACTGTATACTTCAAAAGATCTAAATGATCCACCAATCACAAAATGGAAGGACCAGCTCCTTGTTTGAATGGACTTTTTCATGCACCTTTAGGATTTTTAAGACCCCAGGGGACTATTCTGAAAGTGTCTTTGCTCAAGACTAAAGGAATTCAGTCCCTGCAAGAGATTGGCTGACATGTCATAGATGTGTCCCGTGGGTTGGTGATGTACAGTATCCTGTGGGCAGGCACTTTTCTTGAGGTAGGGAGGCAGAGCTTCGCTGTGTCTTTAAAGGTCAGATTTTATTTTACTTAGCCCGTGTGTTAATAGAATGTTTTCTAGTGCCATACTTATGTTTGTACAGTAGTAATACTATTTGAATAAAGCAGTGGTCGCACAAGCTTTAACAACTTCTAGTGCGTACGCGTGTAGGTAAGGATTTGCCAGGGGTCACCGACCGTGTTCTGCTATTGATAAGTAAACATCAGCCAATTATTCAATCCATTTAAACGCCTGGCCGGCATGAACTCTGAAATGTGGGTCTTTAAGGTAAAAAAAATGTCACGAGATTGGTGACATTTTTTGCGGCAAAGCGTCAACCTAATGTAGCCTCTTGAGACCGAGACCCGCTTTCCTTCTGCAGGTCGTTGCTGTCTTTGCGCAAGGCGTGCAATCAGTAAGACGATATACTCACAGCTGTCCGCCGCACTTAGAGAGCAACTTGGAAAAGTCTTGGGTGTGCAAAGAAACTTTGAAAGGAGTCCAGTTTCTCCTAAAAATAGAAAGCGGTATAGATCCTGTGACCCGCAAGCGCAACTTTTTTTTTTCTTCTCGACGCAGAGTGCGAGACGGGTCTGCTCAGACTCAGGTTGATGTGTCTGCATCGCCAGCCCGATCCGCCCGTCCGGACGCAGTGGTCCGGTTCTTGTGTGTTTTAGGTGCAGGCTGACATGCTTTCGAGGGCGCGAAGTTCCCCGGCTGCTGTTTTTCCGCTTACCCGCATCCGCGTCTGAAGAAGTCGGCACTCGGAGCACAGTGCAGAAACACACGACCCATCACCCGCGACGAGGATTAAACAACCAGTATTATGTTTTAACGTGGGACAGAAAGTGTGAGCGTGGGGGGGGCCCGCTGATTTTTTTTAATTCCCTTTTTTTTCCCCTCCTTGCCTTCAAATTCCCAACACGTACAGTACAAAGGCTTTGATTCTCTGCAGTGGAGGTAAGTAAATACTAACAAAGCAGATCATGTGAGTTACTGTAAAAGCTTTTCAGTGATGGGAAACGGCACCTGCAAATCGGGTTGAAATTCTTCATAAGAGCGTCGTCCTATCTTGAAATTCCTCTATTTGTCTCGTATTAAACTTTCGGGACGGGGTTTGACATTTGTCATTGTGATGCAGATTCTGCGGTGTTGAAATTGTTGCTCCGTCTTCGGCCAGTCGTGTCTTAAATTCTGGTCCTCGCATCCTCTTCGGCGTTCATTATGGGTGTATGTGAGGCAGTGAACCTTGGACAGCGCGTCGAGATACTGCGATCCGTCCAGAATACCCCATTTCATTATATAACCTTTCTCCGTTGTCGTGTGTCACGGCCATTAATTTCTGTTTTGTAACTTGACCCGGAGTTAAAAATAATCTGCCGTCCCCTTTCGGGGTTTTTGCAGCATTTTATGTTTAAAAAAAGTCTGACGTCATCATGCAACTTTGTCCTCTTGGTTTTATTCGTCCTTAAAAGGCAAAGATGAAATCAAGGATGTGGATGACGTCATTACAGAGCGGGGCACTGAAAATCAAACGATATATTTTACAAACATTGGGGGGGGAGGAGAAAAAACTCATAATAAACTTGTCTCAATTTCTGCGAGAGAGCAGAAGCTCCAAGGGAATTTAGATGTAGGACAGTGTTATTTTTAAGTCTACTGTATGGGCAGAAGCCTTTTTTAATGTATCGAGCGGAAAGAACGGTTTCTGGAGGTTTGTGACCGAGATATTGCCATCGTGATCAGTTCGTCTCGCTTGACAGACACCTATATATACCCTGCCGCTTTAGAGTGAAGTGACAAATTACATTTGCGAAGAAATTTGATCATATAAGAAATTAAATAAGACCCTTCAGTGTACGCCATTAACAAATACAGCTATCACCCCATTACCATAACTATGAAACTGTCGATGTCTAACCATATTGCACTGTAGTC